TGAAATAATAAAAATTTCATAAATATTTGATTGGAGAAGCAAACACTTGTGGTAATATGAATATGCATATTACAAGCTGCACTCTACTATGAAAAATATGTACAGTATTTTCGTTGAAGTTTTCACTTTTATTGCAATTTACATGACTGAAAATCCAATAGAAGTTGTTTCTTGAATTATGTCACATAAATATTTTGTCACGTTTTTAATTGAATATTTTATTTTGAATTTCCGAATACAAACAGATATATTCTATCTTTTCTAGTCATAAATTACAATAAATTAACTTACAGTGTACCTGTTCTATTTTTATATTTTTACTGCGACAATAAATTACAAAAAAGACAGTTCAGTAAAATCATGATTGTGACTACTCTATCTCTGACGTACATAGTTCGTGGTAAGAGAAGGCGTGCACTGTGCACATACACTGCAGCCGTTTGCCGATGTGTCAATTTGACTCTGTCAAATGATATTGAAGTTGTTATTATCATTATATGTTTGTCAGAATATTATTATATCTTCAAACATGGTAAAAAGAAATGTGAGCCGATAAGAACGCTAGGCGCTTTTTTCTACGTATCGCACCGAGCCGCTACAAGGTAATTCAATATGACTTTGGTGACATTTTTATGCTACTATTTCTAGTAGCTACAATCATTTATTGATGTCAATGTGACATTATGTATTTTAATGTGACAGCAGATCTTTCAAAAAATTGTTATTCATATTACAGTTTATTATAACCATTGTTTAATTTTGTTATACAAACAGCATTTGCCATGACAACACCCATGTGTGAAGATGGTGGCCCCTTAAGAGAGTGGGCACCCCTTGCTTTACTCCTTCAACAAATACCTGCCAAGATTCAAAATGGGTTATTTATGCATAATATTAATTTCACATGTATTGATGCGCTACCTGAATTTATTGCCATCGGTACAAACCATGGAATGGTTTATTGGTTTAACCGGGAGAAGCAAGATCTTCAAAGACTTCAATGCGAGGTATACTTGAATACGTATTCAGAGTTAATAGACGAATTTATATTAACAGAAAATTGTATTTTCAATCAGAATGTAAACTCAAAAATCACTTGTATACAAGTAATATCAACTGTGGACTACATGGTTGCTGCTGGTAACGAACACGGTGTTGTAACAGTATTTCAAATACCCAAAAATCCTCCAGACTCATTACCAGATAGCTTGAAACCAAAGCAAAAGAAACAAGTGGAAAGATATAGTATTAGTGGTTTGCACAACAGTGCAGTAACAACAGTTGAATGGTCCAAGAATGGTATGAAGTTGTTCAGTGGAGATCAGGATGGTTTAGTAGTATTAACTGAAATTGACTTTTATATGGTATGTTACAAAATGTAGGTATTATTATGTGTATAAACAGATAAATCATGTTCCTAATGAAAATGTTTATTAGCATTTGTCAAAGTCATCCGAATTGCTTAATGAAAAATATGCAGTGGTACAACTGAGCTATCAACAAGGTTTATTGTTGGTTTCAACAACACTCCGTACAATACTAGTAAACAGAAATGAGAATGGAAAAGTAACACAAGTTGGCCAAAAAGAGCGTAAAACGTTAATATCGAAATTTCAGTAGATAATTCATAAAGTCGTTGCAATACAATTTCTGTAATAACTTTACATTGTAGATTAGGAAAATTAGGAGCTGTGTTTGGATGTCGACAAAATTATGTACAGGATATAGTAATCTATGCAAGCAGGCCTGGGCTACGTTTATGGCAAGCTGATAAAACTGGAACTGTGTTGAAAACACTTATCTTCAAGGACGCTATTCGATCCGGTCATACGGAAGTAGAACTTTTGAATCCTGCACCAGAGAGTTCTAAAAAGAATCGTGGAGAACCTACATTCGGTGTTATTTTACCTTTTTGTGATGATTTGTTAATCACATATAGCGACGACATTATATACGTAGTAAATCCACAAACAATTGCTATAACGTCCATTGTAACCGATTTACGACGAGTCACCGATGTTGCTTGTACTAAAGATGAAATATTCGTCCTGGAGGGAGAAAGGAGTATTATACGCATAGCATATTATCCTGAAACTAATATGTTTTCAACGGGTATGTAATTACTTTCTAAAAACATTGTTTAACACTTCGACTGATTTGTTAAAGAACAAGTATATTTCTAGAAGCAACTAATTCTTTGGATCCGCTGTCGTCATTTGCAGAAATTAGTAAACCAGTAACTAATGGTATTCTAGAATTAACTTCTAAATTAAAAGAAAGCGCTATAGTACCAACTATTCCCTTTCACAAAATGAATCCAGCCAATATTATTCAGTCTGTCGGGTAAGACACGAAAGAAACGTTTTTACTTTTGTTTAATATCCTGTATGTTTAATAGTATGTCATACTATATTCAATGTTCCTTTAGTATTGCGCCAGTGATTACGGCTGAGACTGATACAACTTCAATAGCGGAAGAGGCTGTAGAAATGCCAACAAATATAAATGCCTCTGATGTAGCAGATAGCAGCGGTTCATCAGAGCAGAACGATGCATCTAGACGGAACAATTTTGACCAGCCTGATAAACTCAATGATAGGAGACAGATATTTCAAAAGATTAGTCAACAAGAGTTTGAAGATGTTGTTTTTACTCCAGAAAGGAAGGCTAAAAAGTTGCGTAATAAAGTAATAAATGGAAACGAGAGTGGTTCGTCCTTCTCTGATGTTGATGATATATCGGTCTTGAATAAAGATAAAATAAACGCTAACGAGGCGTTGACAACGCATTCCTCTTTACTAACGCTCAGTGTTGACGACGATTTCATACTGAAGACTGAAAGAAATCTTGAATCGATTCAACGTGATGTAGAAAATAAAGAAAAGCTTTTGGCTGATGTATTGGATTTTGATTTGTCGAAGTATATGACGAGTAGTCAAATTGCTACTACTAACTTGAATGTTTCTGAATGTAGTCTTGATACAAGTACCTATATTGATTGCAAGATACATTCCAATAATTCTTCGGCTGAAGAACGAAACGATGAGCAAGAAGTGTACAATGAACAAAGTGATCATACAGAAACTGAATCCGGTGATGAGGATGTCAGTTATCAAACAGAATTAAAAAAATTGGAGGACTTAGGCGAATGTAGAAAAAAGCTGATACAAGAAAAATTAAGCGATCCGTTATCAAACAATGTTTACGTTGACGCGAAAAAAGCACCGCATGCTGCCGACGTCGATAGACATAAACTAGAAGTTCAATTCCATAGTGAGTATGATTAATTACTCTTATTTAATTCTTATAATATAAATTTAATACTTTTCTGACATCTTCAGTTTTATCAAATGAAACCATTATATCAACAGTTCTAGAGGAGGAAGATTGGGTACTTGTGAAAAATGTCACATCGTAAGTTACGATGTAGGATCTAATAAAAGAAAAAACTATTCCATGCACGAATTACTTCGATTTCTATTGATAGTTTATAAATAGTAAGTTGTATAAGGGATATGCGTTCACATTGTTCTTGCACATCTGCATAATAAGTGAAGCTTATATTAGAATACAAGCTCTTTTATGCGTGTATTTTTACACATCAAATTTATGTCACAGTTGCATTAATGCCTTTCTAGTCTTGTTGTAGTGAAATATATTTTTCGTTAATCTTAAATTGGGAAAATATTTAAAATTTAATGAGCTTTATTAATGATATTTATGTTTACCAAACGAATTGTATCCTTCTATTGAGGATTGTATATGACGAAGTATAATATATATTCGTATTTATTTTATAGCAAAAGATCAATAGTTTTTAGATAGTTAAAATTAAAAACGTGAATGTGTTAATGAATCATTAATGAAGAATAATATCGAAGCAACTATCAATGCTAAGGCAAGCAATTATTCTATCTTTATTTATAAATATATGTATACTATAAAATTCTGTTCACTATGGGCGTAACTGTATTTACACATTTTTTTCTGATATGTTATATCTTATTAAATAAAATAAATAAAAACTAAATTTCATTATTCGTTTTTATTACCCGCTTTTACAAAATATAACTAAGGGTAGTTGATGTACAGAATGGTTTTATGGAATGAGATATACACAGTCTAACAAGAATTCGATTTCGATAATTTATTGTTTAACGATGTACATTTTACTCGTAATTGCCTAAATGAGTACTTGAACCTTTCTCATGTTACTTATAAAATAAAAATGATTACACTGCCTGAGAAATGAGATCACTGTACTTTTTAACTTTAGCAGATACGCTCATGTCTACGTATTTATCACCTACCGAAACAACCATTCCACCAATGATACTAGGATCAGTTTTTGTGATTATCGAAAGAGTTTGACCTTGTTTCAAGAATTTTTTCAGTGCAGCCTCAAGCTTAGATTTCATATCTGCATCAAGCGGTTTCGCTGTTACCACTTCACAAACAACCTCACCACGGCTAGCAGACATCAATAATTTAAATGTGTTGATTATAGTATTTACATTTCCAAGTCTACCATTTTCTGCAAGCAGACTCAACAAATTGGCAGTTTCTTTGCTCAAGCTCATTTTACTGCTGATAGCTTTAAGAGCTTCTGCTTTTTCTTTTCGCTTGATCGCTGGATTCTTCATAAATTCATTTAACTTCTCATCTGTCTTCAAAACATCCTAGTATAACATAATATATAAGTGGAAGAGTGAATTATGCCATAATGTTGTAATTAAAAATGTGTGCTACATACTTGTATCTTAACAAGATCTTTTTCTACGTTGCTCAATGTCTTTTGTTTAGTAGCAGCTGAATAAAGGGCCATGGCATAGCGACCATCCATTCCAAATACTTGGATGGGTGGCTAATAAATCAAAGAATCATAGTTATTCTTAAGAAATAGAGAGCAAATTTACTAGCAAAATTATATCACAGTTTTGAGAACGAAGGTTAAGTATGTTTTTGGTTATATAATTTTTGAACTAATTAATATATATAAAAAATATACCTTGACCATCTGCTCCAGCAGAGCAGAGGTGGAGGAGAATGACCGGGACTAGAAAAAGAAACGAGATTCATTACTTCCATAGAATTTTTATGAAACTGGATTAACAATGTTTTCATTTTACTATTTCAACGATTAAGTTGTCACAAGAGTTTGTGCTATAATTAAGACACCAATGCTGTCAACTATCCATTCCGTTTGATCGTCGAAAACCGATAAATACTTTTCGTATCATTACTTACAATTACTCTGCTGAAAGACATTTTCAAAAAGACCGTCAGTTCCTTCAAATCCTAGAACGACAAAGGTGGACCTACACGACCACCATGATATTACATAAGTCACTTTAATGTCTGTGATCCGATTCAACTGTTGAAGTGAATATCAAAAATTTAAAAGCGACATCTATAGAATGAAGTGAAACTCTGTCTTAAGGCGGTTGATTTAAACTGAGTTTATTCCAAGCTCGTTATTGATTATTAATACATTTAGTTTTTTTATACATATAGATGATGTGAATAAATTAATTAAATGCAGTCGACAATTATAATCAGTGTTGAGTAATATTTATTTAAAATATATGCGAAATAAAGCTAATTTACTAAATAGGGAGGTATTAATCGATAATAAGAACCTCGAACCACGTAGTGGCTAAACACTCAAACCGTTAGTCAAAAGCATAGATGATTCTTGCCGTATTTGCCATTAGACACAATGTAAAATTTGGTAAGAATAAATTGTTGTTTGAACGGTAAAGCTTCGTTCGGAGAACGTACAGCGCCAATTAGTAAGTAGCAAAACGTTGAAACTGTTAGTCAAATTACCGACAGATGATTTTGGCTAGCAGTTTGAGCGTTTTGCCACTACCCTAATTGGCGCTGCACCAACCCCAAAAGAAGCTTCGCCATTTCGCCGTAAGTGGTGCCACTGTCGTGCAATTTTGAAATATTTATTAATTTAAGTATAACTTTGAATCGATTTTAAACTACTTCCATGGGAAATTTATGAACTTTCAAGGAGTCAAATTGAAGCTGAAAAATCGTGCTGTTATGTAGACTTACTTACAATGGGGGACAAATTGAAGTGTAAAAATCAATATATCACAATCGATATCTCAGTAAAAAATGATCGAATCGAAAATTTTCAAATTTTGAAGAGTTTGCACCAAAGCTGGAGGATCGACACATCGAAGCCAAATAATTGAATTTCTTAAGGAGATACTTCGAATCAATTTTCAATTGTATTCCAATGGAAATTTGTAAACTTTCGAAGGCTCGAAGGAAAAAGCTGGAATACCGCGTGTAAAAATAGTTGAAAAAAAGCATCGTTCGTTCTTACGAATAATTTCCCCCGTTTTCGGTAGCCGTTAAGTTTCGACCGTTGTCATCACCATTTCGCGAACCCGAGCTTTGAAAGATTTACTAGAAAACAACAAATTTTATTCGAACCCCGGCCAGAACGGCCGTTCTTCGTGTCTGTTACGCTTTTAACGATCGTCGTGCGTAATAAGACGGCATTGCACGGTCTTCTCCTCGCAGATCTCGAGCGTTTAACGTGTAATTTTATCGTTAATCATGCTCACGATTGTGATCAACGGTTGCACAACATCCACGATCTCCGTCTTACACTGAAATCGTCTGGAAACGCGGGCTGAAGCTTTTGGAGCTTTTTCAATCTATCGCTATTTCGATCGCCGTGTTCTTCTTTGGCTTCCACCTGGCCTCTGTTCACGGAAATATTCCGCTGGAAAGCTTGTTTGCGCAATCGTGACTCGATCGAGGAACACCCTTATAAATCACCGAGTCGAATCAGCGGAAATTTATGGAAATATATTACCTACGAACGGAATCGCCTATGGTTTCCCAGCGAGATTTTCCAAAGACAAGCCGAAGATCTTTCCTCGCAGCATCCTGGCTGGCTTAATACCGCTGACTTCATCTCGCTCCTCTCTATTCAGAGACATCCGCTTTTACGTTCATCGTATTATCCAACTTTTCTGTCCGATCACCGCCGACAGATTAACGTGATTAGTGGTCCAACGTGATCCGGATTAGCCGAAAAAATGGACCCTCAGCGATACGTGTTTTCCACGGACTAATGCAATCATCTCTCTCCCGCGTGCAGAACTTTCGGCGGAGTATCGGACCGTCGGTACGCTCTTCTGATATTCGCAATCGTTGCAAGAGTGGCACACCAAGGATCCTCTTTGAGATTACACGTCTCGTCGTTGCAATTCGAGTTCTGCTCGGGGGTCTGTTTTTCTTTTTTAAACTGATAATTTCTCGATTTTTATCGTATCAAAACGATCGCGTTGGTTCGGCGATATTTCTTCTCTTCGTTGTTATCAAGGATACGGAACTTGATACGCGTGGAATATAGAAGGTGGTGTGCAACGGAGCCCTCGGAGCCGTTAAATTGGGGGGACGCGGTGATCGTCGTGAAAACCGTCCGGGTAACATCAGTTTGTTCAGCTTCGGGCGAATGTAACTGGCATTAAAGCATTTCTCGGGTGCGCGCAGCGACTCGCTGAAACTGCTCCGGGTGGAAACCGGCCGCGGCAGCAAACCGAATGAACTTTTTAATACGTCAGTCGTACCGTTCCAACGGTATCCTGTTCGTTTTGCCGGTAGCCAGTTCTGCTTCTACCGAGCGCGCACGGTCTCGTATTTCGCCGGAGATTTTTCGAGAAATGGCCGGATGGGCGAAATGCAATATAATATATTTTGTTCTTTTTCGTCCGCCGCGCGTGCCCGATCGAGGTGAAAGATAGGGGGAAAGGAGTCGAGATTAAAAGGGAGAGAACTAGAAAGGGAGAGACAAAGGGGAGAGGCTGGAGAGCGTAGGCTGCTGGCGCCCAGACGAGCTTGTCTGACATTCATAGATCTTCGGGAGAAGTATTGTTCGGTTAATGGCAGCGTGTCGTTTCGCTGGAAATAGGAGGTGTCACGTTCCATCTCGTTTTTTTCTTTTTTTTTTTTTATTATTATCCTGTACACCGTGAATCATTACGCGGATAATAACCGAGCGATTTTTTCCAATCGATTCGCACCCGACACCCCTCGTTCGTACACTCGAAATTTACGTGTCCGGTTGTGTGCGCCCGTAGGCGCCGGGAAAAATTCCACCCCGATCCTGGAAAACCGGAGAACCGCCCCCCTTTTCTCTCCCTCTACTTTAAAAGGATTTCGCGTCATCCGGCGCTCCTCCCCGCGTGGATAAACAACCATTGTCTGGACATCGAAAGCCAGGAAATCCTAAGAAGCCGCGTCTTGGGAAAATTCAGTGATTCCGACTGACCTACAGATCTGCCGCCGGGAGAATCAGCCGGCGTTACCTTCCTTTCATCGAAACGCGTCCTCTTCAGGCTCCAGACTCTGTGTTCATAACCGAAGTTTCCTGCGTCGTCAAATTTCATAAGAAATAATATCCAAGAAAAACAGAAGAAATGCGTGGGATTCTAATGGAATTGATCTAACGCAGGCTCGCAAACGCGCGTCTCTCTCTCTCTCTCCCTCTCTTCCTCTCTCTCTCTCTCTCTCCCTCTCTTCCTCTCTCTCTCTCTCTCTCCCTCTCTTCCTCTCTCTCTCTCTCTGTCTCCCTCTCTTCCTCTCTCTCTCTCCCTCTTTTTCTCTCTCACTCTCTCTCTTTTTCTCTCTCTCACTCTCTCTCTCTCCCCCTCTCTTTCTCTCTCTCTCTCTCTCTCTCTCTCTCCCTTTCTCTCTCTCTGCAACAATTCGTTATCAATCGAAACGCCAATTTTATCCGACTCTTCCGTAAATTATCCTAATTGTAACATAGTAGTAGACTGTTAATCCTGTAAGAGTGCTCGGCGATCAGCTGTGCAGGCAAGAAAACGGCGCAAGAACGAATCGTAAAAGTAAATTGCTATCTGCTCGTGGACATTGTTTGCACTCGGGAAAGTAGAGATTGAAAATTAGCTTGACCTGCGTCGGTATCGTTTAACTCGCGTATCTGTCATTATAGGCAGAGTATCTACTTGCATTAGCGTCAATAAATACGTGTTTCGATTACGCGGGGACCGTCGCCACCGCAATGGACCCGAGATAATACAGCGGCATGATCGTATGTTTGTAATAAGTAACAGCGGTTGACAACACAGCCAAATCCATTAGGCGATCTTATTCCTTCGATACGCGCCCTGCGAATTTCCGAATTCGACTTTCTATCGTTTTCCATGATTTTTTCCGAATCGAAGCTGAAAGGCTCGAGGAATGATCGCAAAAATCGGGAAAAAGGAATAGCGTTCAGCCGATTTTAATACAGCCGAGACAGTTTCCTCGTCGAACTATTCCGTCAACCGGACGGGGAGACGAACTTACACTTAACTTGACGTTACTTTTACTTTTAGTTAACTCGACAGTGTGTTAAGTAAATCCGAAGTTGCTCTTCGCACGTGTCTACCTTGCGTTACAGCTTCCGAAAGCGTGTCCGTCGTTGAGAAATATTCCGGCGAACGCGGGGCGCCGCGTAAAAACAAGAAGCAGCGAATAAAATGGCGAAGTTGGAGCAGCATTCTCATTCCTCATTCACGAAAGTGCCTTGAGATCCGCGAACACACTCGTTCCACGTTCGGAAACATTGGTCTGCCAGCTGCGGCACGACGCAAATATTGCAATTGGTGCCTAAGCTTGACCCATTTATAAAGATTTTCAGCAGCGAACTTATTAATTTCGGCGAGCGAATATCGAGATTGATCCGAGGGTAGAGGGCAACGACTCGGGGGCAATTTACTACCGCGGCATAATCGGCCCGCGTGTCACGCAGTGGTGATAAATGCCGAATTACGCGAATCCTTGGCCGCGAAGGCGCCGCGACGTCTGTCGTCCCGTACCTATTCAACGTCACGTCGCGCTTTCTTCTTTTCGATTTCTCTCGCTTTTCTTGTTCTGCTTTTCCGTTTTCTTACCAGCGCGAGGCGCTTCTATCTCTCCGTCCCATTGATGTTCGGATAATTGAGAATTAATTGCCGCCGACTGCGGTGGTCGTTACCCTTTCTTCGTCCGGTTCTGTTATTTTTTCCTACGGACCAGAAGAGCAAGAAAGCTCGTTACGATTTCATCGACCTGGCAACGATAGCGAGTAAAAATTAGCGGGGAGAGGAGGGGAGATCCGTGGATCCACCGAGCCGTGGCAGTGTCCATGAACGCCCACCGAGGTGAAACCATTCGAAATCAGCTGATAAAATTGCGCAATTGTGCCAGAAGTCGCCAAATTTCCTCCGGAACGCGTTCGCCGTCGCTGCGGTTGTCTGCGAGCGGTGTCCGTTTGTTCCGTAGCCTCCCGTTCACCGTCGGCGACGGTCGTCGTCAAGCTTTTTCAACTTTCACACACATCGCTCGGTA